TTTTTTAATGATTTTTCAAACATCAATTAATTTCAGTATTTTAAGGTATTAATTTTTATACATTTTAGTTGGAGGATACTTTGATTTTAGCGAAGCTTTAATTCTCTTTCGGGAGATTAGTTCAGATATGTATGTAGCACTTAATATATTTACCATTAAATTTTGGCGGACTTTAATTTTATTAAACACCACTATGTATATAGATGGATTATCATGTTCATCGCCTCCTTTTGTGTTGTGACATCTAAATTTGTATGTCTTCATTGTGTTCCAATAAATGCATGCACCGAGACAAATCTGAACTCATGGAAGAAGAGAAAAAGAACATGAAGAGAGAATAAACGAAAAAGGGAAGGGAAAAAATACTGCATGCTGTCACCAGAAAATTATCTCTAGTGACTGTACATAGTTGTTGGAGGCATGTTAATCACAATGTACAATAATGGTGATTGAGGATAGGAGATGATAGTGATATAGTGTTAGGGGTAGGTGATAATTATGTGAATCTTGAATTGATCTAAATGATCAAAATTGTGATATAACTTTTGCTGATGAAATATTATTTTAACACAGATAAAAATCAAACTTGGGTATCAGAAAAATTGTGATGTATGATGACAGAAAATGTGATATAGGGTTAAGATTCCTCAAGTGACCTATTAGTACAAATTCCGAAGCTTAAGATGTAGTTGCAATGTTGCATTAAGAAAGGGGTTAGGATATTAAAAGGGACGCGTGAGGTACATGAAAGTCAATTGAGGACTTAGAGATCTGAACAATGGACAACACAAGAGTGGGCCATTCTTTATTATGTTTGTTTGTAGTAACAGTAGCTATGCCAAATGATGTTGTTCATCACGGGCGTAATTCAATTCATGCATAAGCTAAGCTGTCAGTCACAGTTGTCATTAAACGATAAAAAAGTGTGATATAGGGTTTGTTGGATACATGATTACATACTTGTCATTGAAGCTACTTCCTCTGCCTTCACAATTTCCCTTTGCTCTTTCTTCACCTCGATCCATTATTGCTTCTCAGTCATGTACCCTTTGTGAATGAAAATGAGTTACTTGGTGCCTTGACTCTGATTCTCATATACCCTTTCTAAGTGTTTGTGTAGTGCATCATTTTGGATTCAAGTGTTCAAATGAGTCTGCATGCAAAATAATCTTTCTTTTTCATCTATTTTAAACTGAATTTCAAGATACAACTCAATTTACAATCAGATTTAACTGAAAGTCAAACATGAGAATTTTTCAGTCTTATTTTTTAATCACGCCTTAATCATAGCACAATCTTTCGATACAGTTGCCCCACATCGATAATAGGAGAATGGTGATGTGAGATTTTCACTTGATAATAATTCAGTTAGGGTAATTTGTTTTTATTTTTTATTTTATTTTATGTTTGAAACTTGAAAAATTAGACGGGGAATTAGGTGAATACTGTAAACAAAAAATCATGTCATGCAGGAAAATTTCATAATACTGCAATTCATAGTTAACCAATGCCTTGTTGCACTACCAGTCATATTGCATTACAGTATTAACAGCTTCAATTCAATTTACAATTTTAGCTTAATTATGTCTTTGGATAAGTATTGAAAATTAAGTTTGAATGAAATTTATTTTATAAAATTGATTTTGAAGTGTCATGATTTATGTTTGATTGTTTTCTGTGTTTGCCCAAGTTAGGTAGAAACCACTTTCATATTAAGTAGAAAAATTGTTTTTTTTACACAAAGTAGAAAAATTGTTAAATTTTGTGGTAGAATCTTTAAGAAAAACTTTCCAGTTTTGATTTCTTAAATATAAATATAGATATTTAACCCGTATTTTATTAGTCTTGCCTCAAATTCATGCAGATCTGGTTCAAATAAATAAAATTGAAAATTTAAGTAATTCACTTGTAATAATAAATAGTTATAAAATAAATAAATAAAAATATCATGATCCATTTTTTTTTTGCTTCCATTGCTGATTAAGTTTTTATTTATTTATTTATTTATTATATAATAAAGTTAAGTCAGGTTAGATCAAAATCATGGCTGATAAATATACCCCTTTTTTAAAAAAAAAAAATAAGTACACCTCATATATATATATATTTACAAATATCTTTAATATTTTTATTCATTAATTTTTCAATTTTACACTTTGAACTTTTAATTTAGTAGATTCTTCTTCTTTTTCACACACCTCTTTTTCTCTCCCTTTCAATTTACACATCTCCTTTTCTTTCCATTTCAGCAGGTAGTTTTAATTTTTCTGATTTTCATATCACTTTCTTCCTCTTCATCTCTTTCGGTTGTCACATGCACTCGAACCATAAAATTGGTAAGCGACGGTACTATAAGCACGTGTGACTTCCTCATCAATTTTGAAGATGTCAAGCTAGAGACACATATTTTTTTTCTGAACACTTCCTCTCCTTTCATACTTTGAAAAAACATTAACTTTAGTGTTTTGAAAAATACTTTTTAGAACATTAATTTTAATATTCTAGAATAGTGAAATTAATCCTCAAAAAAGGATTTTCCAGAATTATGTTTTTACATACTTTTTGAAAGTACTTTTCGAAACACTAAATTTATTATTTTGAAAAAAATCTTTCTAGAATTATGCAAAATAACACACTTCTAAAAATTACTTTTCAAAATACTAATTTTATTGCTTTATAGAATAGTAAAATTAATGTTTTGAAAAATACCTTTTGAAAATATGTTGTTTTACATAATTTCGCAAAGTTTTATTTTTTCAAGAACAGTAAATTTAATGTTATATTAAGTGCTTTTCAGAAGTATGTTAAAAATACAATTGTGAAAAATACTTTCTCAAACACTAATTTCACTATTCTGGAAAATACTTTCCGAAACACCAAATTATTTGTAACCCTAAGTTAAATGTTGTGTTTTTTAAACGTGTAAATGAGGAAAAATGTTTGAAAAGAAAAAGCAATTTGGTTTGACACCTTTGATATTATCAAAGAAGTCACACACACTTATAATAATATTAAAAATCATTTTTATGCCTTGAGTGCATGTGGAAACTAAAAGGGAGAAAGAGAGTAATAGTGTAAAAATTGAAAAGGAAGAAATTAATGTAAAAATCTAAAGAATTTAAATTATATACTAAAATAGGTGGGAAGTAGGAGAAAGATAAAGAGGTGTATGTAAAAATTGAAAAGTGGAGAGAAAGAAATGTATAAAAAAGAAATAAAAATGTTAAATTCAATAATGTTGGAGGTGTAAAATTAAAAATAAAAAATTTAAAAAAATAGTTTTTTTTAGAAAAAGGTAGACTTATAAAAAAAATTGGAGGTATATATATTATCGGGCTAAACAAATTAGCCCATTGGGCTTTGATCCATTTCGACAACCCCATTCTCTTTTAGAAGCAAGGAAAATTGTGCATAATTTTTTTGGGTACAGAAAGTTGTGCAACATTTTGGACCCATGTATCTTACATAATTTTAAACACTTAAAAGATAGAATATAGTTCAAAACTACATTTTTCGGATGATACAAGAATAGGAGTCCATTTTAATTTGTTGGTTTACTTTTTTGGCTTTTTGCACATTGTTTGGAAGATTAAAATGAAACATGGAGGACATATTTTTCCTAGAAGATTTGTATTTAATTTTTTTAATTTTTTTTTTGAAAAACTGTTGTGTAGTGGAGGGGGAAAAATATCCAATTTGGGCGCACGGTGATATTTTCTTGGTTTTACAGCACCAATTTATAATTAAGAGCATTTCGAATTGTACAATTACGGTAGAATAGTTTAACTCACTTTTTGCGAGTCTTACAATGGGATTTAAGAGTTTCCACAAAATTTTCTTCTAAAGATTAAGGATTTAAAATAAGTTTTACAATTGTTTCATAATTTTTAAGAACGATTAATGACTATTGCTTATATATCTTACAATGGGTAAATAATAGGCGTGAGCCATTCAAAGTGCCAAATTCTATTTTGTAAATATCCCTCAACCTTAGCAACCAAGAATTGAACTCATAATAATCGAATAATATATAATTAAAAATGCTTACATTAAGTAGTACGATATTTATATTTTTAATTAATAATTAAAGTTTGATTTTTATTTCAAGTATCGACTAGAAATATTACTTTAGTTTTATAAAGGTTAAAAAGAAGTTATACTTCTGTATAAAATAATAAATTTTTTTTGAAACCCATAATTTCTCATAATATCCCATTCCAATCATGCTTGCCAAGGAGAGAGTAGCAGGACAAATGCCAAGATCACCTCGAGCTTTTGGTAGGGAGATGGAGATGGTCTCCCACTTAAACCAATAACAAGGATTATTTTTACATGAATATTCTTACCTAAAAAATTCTTTTACTATTTTTTTTCTTCTTATCTCTCTTGATTTACCCGTCTATACATGCTGCACAAGGAGTAAAAAGTTGTAGGTGTAACAAGATTAGTTCACGTGGAATGTGTAAACGAATCGAAGGGGTACTAATCTTATCAAAAGAAAATGATTAGGTGTAATTCTTATATTAAGGATTTAAGGGAGTACGTGCTCGTGACAAAAGCAAGTAGACAACACTTGTCAATTGTCTAGTCAAGAGGACTTTTGTTTATAAATCCTTTAACAAAGTCGCAAATGCTTTAGCTTTTGATTTATTGACGAACAGCATGTTGTATCCAGCTATTAAAGTTTATACTTGCACACACATAAAACCGAAAAATACAAGTATTTTCTTTAAACAAACATGAAAATATGTATTATAATATCCTATTCAACACTGGTTCCGCTGCACGAGAGATCAATGCAAATAAGGTGGACTGACTCATAACTTGTAATCATACAGGGCCATGCATGCATGGTGGTGGGGATATATACTCGTATGTAGTGTTCCACTTTGAGGCTCCTTTCTTACTTTAAAGTGAACCAATGTCTCTCCTTTCTTTTTACAAAGCTCACTTCTCATCACACTTTTTCTTAAGTCACCTATAAAATAATAGAAAGTAGGACACATTTCTCAGCAAAAGAATGCAACATTCATTGACTTGCCTCTCCAGTCTTCCCCCAACTTACCATAAGCTTTCATTTGAAAACTGTTGCTGCCTGCAGCAACATTTTTGTTTTAAATTGGAACTATCCAGAATTCGGTCATGCTATGACTCTAAGTTGACTGCTAGCAATGAATTTGTTTTGGTCAATTTGCTTGTGAGCTTGAAGGGTGTAGTGGAGATCAACTAGTACTTATGAGGGATATTCAAGTGCATGTGCATGATTGAAGAGGATGGCCAACATGGAGCGAGTGAGTTCAACTTTCATGCGTTTGTTTCTTCTTTGGACAATTTTGGTGCATGGCTTGGTGCTCAAGGTTTCTGGCAACGCAGAAGGTGACCTTTTATGCTTACTTTGCTTATTTGGTGTTTGACTTGATGGTTTATTTTATTTTCCTGTTTTTGTTGCTTTTAAGCTGTATTGCGTTGTGTCTGGCGCATGTGTTTGAATGAGTAGTAAAACTGGAGAAGGATTTAGTTTGTTATGCTTTTATGTTGAAGACTTGGAGAAGCTAGCTTTTGAAATATTTTACCTCAGTTCTCTGCCTTTGCTTTGCCTGTAATATTTTTGTTAATAGAATATTATCTTATAAAAAACATATAAGAGAAAATTAGTATTTTTTGTCCACTCTAAATTAAAAAGTTGGATTTTGTTGAAAACAGAGTATAAAAAGAAAGGTAGGTTGAATCCTAAATTATTAAAATCTACAACTTCACATATAAAAGAAGGTAAAAAATCAATGATATATTTGAGTTATAACAAGTATTTAAATAGTAAAATTAATTCTTAATTAGGTAAAGTTAAAAGTAAATTATAACTAAACTAACAAGTAAACATCATTTAGTTATGTAATTTACTTTTTTTAAAATATAATTTTTTTAATCACATTTACAAGTAAAACAGAAAATTGTATCAACTTTAAAATATTTAATTTATAGTGAAAAAATCTCAATTGGTAAGGTTTTGTTTTTGTCATCTAACTTTGTATTTTGTTTGTCCTTATGCTATAACAGTGTTGGATCTTACAGTTAGATCCAATTTCATGTGAAAATTGTGTTCTATTTTTCTTCCGAAAGATGAGGATGAACGATTATTGAAATTGATTGAGGGGTTCGTTAGATGTTGGATTGTGACAAATATATTAAAAGATTGTGTGATTTCATTAGCTAAAGTGAGAGAATGAATTGGATTGTTCTTCATGATCCATTTTCTTATTGTTTCGAAGAAGAGATCTCCACATTTTGACAGTAATTAATTGAATTTCTTTGGGCCTTCTTCTCACCATTAACGTGTGATCTTCACTCTATAATAAGGAGAATCAAATGCTGCAAGATGACCTGATTTGGTTTTCTACCAAATCCTAGTGCTTGGTGAAGGTGTGAACTAATGGTGAGATCTAACACTGTTATAATGGAAAGACAGAGTACAACATATTAAAACACAAATTAGGTGATTAAATTGAAATGAAACCAATGTTTAATTTAGAGGACAAAATACTAACTTAGCCTTTTAAAAGTTTCTGCGGTGAGTTGGCGCTCTATATGAAGCTTGGGTTGTAACCTCAAAACGTTTGACGTTATTCTTGGGGAGTTATTGAGGAACTTGGACTTCATGATTTTATTTCACACAATTTCATTGGAGCAACATAAATACTGACACCTGTTTAAACTTTTTACTCCTATCCCTGTGGATTTAATATATTTGGGATGTTTATGTTTGTAGTTGCACTTGAATATTACCATTATGGCAGGTGATGCCCTGATGGCATTGAAGAACAATATGAATGATCCTGAAGATGTTCTTCATTCTTGGGATGCTTCCATTGTCAATCCTTGTACCTGGGTTCATGTTACTTGCAACCATGAAAATAGCGTGACCCGTGTGTAAGATGTCTATGTTATTTTTGACTTGCAGTTTCATGAAAGTTTGTGCATGACAGGTAACTTTTTTGTTTGGCTAGTGATCTTGGAAATTTAAAGCTCACGGGCCAACTTGTTCCTCAACTTGGAGAACTCCCAAATTTGACTTCCTTGTAAGTTACAAAACAAATACAATTTTATTGCTGAATTTACGTCTTCTTTCTGACTATATCTTTCTTATTTCTTGATTGTTGGTTGAAAGTTGAAACAAATATGACTAGGCAATTATACTTTAACTTGTATTCAAAAAATTTCCTGACGGTTCTTTTATACACTAATTGCTTTATGTTAATGATATGTTGATTATATTAAGTAACAAGTCCACCAGGAAGTTAAAATTTCCATTAGCAAAGAGTTTGAAATGAAAGAATTGGGTGTAACTATGAAAATTCCTTGTATGAAGATTCACAGGGACCGTCGAGGAAGAAGAACATTCTTATCTCAAAAAGGAATATATTGAAAAAGTGCCTGAAAGTTGAAATGTTTAATGAGTATTTGAAAATCTGTTTGTAATTTTTAACCAAACTTAAAAGTAAAACAAAAAATTGTAAAAATTTTAAAATATTTAATTATGGTAGTGGAAAAATCTCAATGGTCGATCATTGATAAAATTGTTGTTCAAAGATTCACATCTTTAATAATCCCGCAAATATACTTAGAGCATGTTTATATATTAGTTACAAATACTTTTAAGAATTTTTTTTTATTGAAAATAAAGAGTATTTTTTTAATAGAAAAGTTCTTAAAAATGTTTCTAAATTTGTATGGAAACAAACTTACTAAACTACTTTTGAATTCCAAGTTTCACCATTGCTTGAAGTTGGTTTGTCTTTACCACACTTGCATGCCCCTTAAGGCTTTATATGACTTGAGCAACTAGTCGAGTTCAAGTGAAAGTGGAGACCGTTTCCACTCTTTAAAACCATTGATACTAATGGTTATAATTTCATATAAACAACAATTCATTTGGATGGTCCAAAAGCTTTCTTGTCACCTGTAAAAGGTGGCTAAGCTATTTTGAATTTTTTCATCATTTTATTTTCATTCTTTTAAAGTGTTTTCTTTGTTCTTTATCCTCATTATTGTTTTTGGAGGATTTGTGTTAATCTCATTTTCATAGTGGAATCACATTGCTTTCGTTCTATTTGCTTATAGTTCATCCATTGACTTGAACTTGTGCTTTTGCAAAACATATATACACATTGACATTTTGTGTAGTTCAATTTTTTCCTTATCAGCTTCTACTAGATTTTAAATCGTCATTGCATTGATACAAATGTATTATGCAGTTTTCAGTTATTAATTGGAATTTTTTTCTTTGTCAAAATCTAAACATTTTTTTGTCTCAATGACAGGAAACTTGATGGTAATAATATATCTGGAACAATCCCAGATGAGCTTGGAAATTTGACAAACTTGGTGAACTTGGATCTTTACATGAACAACATTAGTGGTCCCATTCCGGATAAATTGGCCAACCTTAAAAAACTACGTTACCTGTATGACATGCTTTCCTTTATCTCATATATCTTTAATCTATAAAACTTATTTAAATCAAGTATAAGACGCACCCCCCCACTTACTGCTTAATGATTGTTTGTTGTCATGTCTTGTAACTCTTCTCTGTCAATAGTTTAATATCTGCAAACTAAATGACACTGTTCCATGAACTAGGCGTCTCAACAATAACAACTTGTCAGGAAAAATTCCTATGAGTCTGACCAATGTTTCTCTACAAGTGCTGTGAGCTTTACTCCTAAAATTTATATTTTATATTTCACTTTTGTGTTATTTTATATGTAATCTGACACCATGATCATTGTTGAATCTAGTGATTTATCGAACAACAACTTAGAAGGAGATATCCCATTCAATGGTTCCTTCTCATTTTTCACTCCCATCAGGTTTGGTACAAATTAAATTCTGTTTCGCCACACTTTGCCTTCCTTTGGTAGAAATGACTAAGAAATAGGAAAGAAGGCAATGAAATGACAAAGAATTAATTAAAATTGAATGGTCGTTTGGCAGATATGAAATAGGAGAACGAAGAAATAAAAAAGTGTATATTCTGCAATTTTTTTTTTTAAATTTGCACATGAACTATACACACTTTAAAATTCCTTTGTAATTGATTAAAATAATATTGCACCCGATTAAACCATTTTTATGCGCAAAATCGTAAATGTTGTGTATTTAATTAATTAAGTTTTTTATTAATCAAATTTTTGTACTATTTTCATATTTGAATATGTTTCAACATATTCAATACATTTGATCGAATAAGATTAATAATCGATTGCAGTTGAATTTTAAATATTTTAATTTAATATTAAAGTTAAAAATTAATTTTAAATATTTTTTCTTTCCTTTTTTACTTGTTTTTATTATTTATTTATTTTCATTTTTATATACTTTATTCCCTAACTATTTCTCTCCATCTTACAAAACATATATAATGGGTCCGTTTGTTTATACTTAAAAAGGAATGTTTATAAATAAATGATTTTAGAAAAAAAAATTCTTTAAAAAATAGATATGAATTGTTTCTAAAAAAAAACTAGAAAATTGCCTATTTTAAAAAAAGTTTAGACAAATATAACAAAAAAGAAAAAAAGTGTTTATTTTATTTAAAAAATGTTTTTATTATAAAAAAATGCTTATAACAAACAAACTCAATATTATTTTTCTCTATTTGTTTCCTTTTTTTCTTAATCAAACAACTTATTTTCACTCGTTTATTCCTATCTTTTTTATTTATTTTTTTTATCTATTTTTTATTTTTTATTTTTACCAAACACACCATTCAACACTTCACTAATAGTCCATATTTGGGATGTGGGCCACATTACTATTATTATAGAGGGATGAGATATCAAAATTTTACTAAGCCCTTTATTTATTGTTACAGTTTTGAGAATAATACTTTATTGAATCAGATCCCTCGTGCTCCACCAGCTCCTACACTGCAACAAAATCCTCCAGGTTTGTTGATATTTGTTTTATTGTTGGTAATGAATTATTTTCAATGGATGATCTACCTAAAAGCATATGCTATAACTCTTAAATTACTCTCATGTGAGAGTCCACTTATTGGCTTGAAACAGACAAAATATAGTCTTACAACTAAATTTAAAAGCAAACCAACTTTGCTTAAAATTGTAATATTGGCGCAACAATCAAACTCTACACCACCAGCTCAACTAAACTTTGATACCATGTAATTTAAACCACTATGAGAACCAAAGACTCAATATTAATACTATGTAAAAGTAGGTTTTCAATTTTGGTGCTATTTTACTTTTGTTTCTTCTACAATCTGCATCCATTCTAATCCTTTTCATACTACTAATGTTTTCTTCACCCTTGTATGCCAGAAGGCAAGGATTTCGAAGGTATTGATAATGGATAGGTTGCGTGATTTTTTTTTTCTTTTCCAAATGCTTATTCTGTAATTTTGGATGACTTCTATGAAAGAACCTTTCCATTCTTAAAAGTTATTGAAAAGGATGGACTAATTGTTATCTATTGCTAGCAAGTCCGTATAATTTTTGCATCAATATTATTTCTTAATTTATGCCTTGGTTTGACTGTGTAATAAATTTGTTCAAAATCAGATTTGAATCAGATCAGAATTATGATCAGATCGTAGGTGATAGGCTAGTTTTTTGCTTCCTAACTCTTTTCCTGATTGTGGTAGACTTGGTTTCCTCTTTGATACTAATTCTGTTTATAAATCAGTGGCTATATTATTCGAATTCTATTAAAGAAGCTTCTCTATTATAATATCATGAACAATGATCTTTGATGATTATATATAGATACCTTAAGCATATCTTCTTTTGTGTGGTTAAATGTATAGTGTCTTACGGTGAATGTGTTTTAACCCATGATCTTATTTTGAGTGGAGGGATAAGCCTAGAGTGTGGTGTGACATATAATTGAGAAAAAGGAAAGTGGGATAGGGGAAAAGTTATTTTGGACTTGGCGATGCTTGTTGTTAACATCCTGTTAAGAGAAAAAGGAAATATTCATTTGATAAAAGATGGGGGAATGAGAGGACAGGGAGAAAGAAGAGTTTCCCAATTTGAACCGAGTGACTCTTCCTTTGATGCTGGATCATTGTAGTTTTTCCTTTTGTTTGAAGAATACCACATTACCACACTATATGCTTAAGTCTATTCAATGCGAAGCTGTTAACAATGAAAACATATAAGTCGGAAGAGAGGAGAACAAATGGAAAAATATAGCTTGAGTAGTGGGGATGCAAAAGTGCGTTCACGTTTTTTGCATGTATATGAATGTTTTCAATGACTTGGAAGTGTTAAAGTACAAGTTTACCAGAAAAAATGCACACATAAGTACTACCCACTAAAAACAAGAATTCTTACCTACTTTTACCTATTGCATGTTGACTAAAGCACACTACATATCACTTACTTTCATCTAAAACAAATTTCATATAAAACAAATACAAAACAGCAAAGTTTATATTCAAATATCAAGAAAATTTTCAAAGTCTAAAAGAACACTACAACAAAATTGTCATATAGTGACATACACTCTATAATGACACGATACGTGTCATTAAAAATTACTTTTACACACACAATAAATATAATATATGTTAGTATATTGTTAAAAAAGTATGGGTATACGATATAGTGACACACAAAACATGTCGTTAAATCTTGTTTAAAATCAACACTAAAATTGTATGTAACTATATGTCAAATAGATATCACTATATGTAACATTTCTTGTAGTGGAAGCACAATGGAATTTAGTTATAGTTTCCCATTTAATTTTGTTAAATCTTGTAGATAAAGGTATCAGAGCTATAGGAGCCATAGCTGGAGGAGTTGCTGTAGGTGCTGCACTGTTGTTTGTAGCCCCGGTAATTGCATTTGTTTATTGGAAAAGAAGGAAGCCACAAGATGATTTCTTTGATGTTGCAGGTTAGTTTATTAACAAAAAAAATGTGGTATAACATACTGATTAAAGCTGCATATGATAATTAACTGTTTGTAGTTGAGATTTTTTATTATCATAATTAAATATTTTAAAATTTCTATAGATTTCTATTTTGTTTGTTAGTTTAATTAAATGTTGTTTATGTTTAGAAAAAGTAATTGTGCAGACAAATGATGTTTTCTTGTTAGCTATTAGGACTTAAGTACATGAGAAGAGTCCAACTCAAAAGATTAGTCTATTAGATAGGAGAATCTCAAGTTTAAGTACTACATTAAATTTCATATTTTATTAAACGTGGAACTCCTAACATTGTTGCCCCCTTTAAGGGTCGATGTCCACTACAACTTTCACCCTATCGACACTAATCCAGTGGTAGCTTCACTCACCTATTAGTATTTGATTTGACATTTTAATCCAGCTTATAAGTTATGTTTTTCGTTGCCCAACTTTCAACGAAAACATCAATGATAAGGATATGATATTAGCTTAGTCATAATTTGTTGTTTGCTTTATTCAATCATAGATTAGTTAATTTTGATATTTAAGCACTTTTAATGTGTATAAAATTGAATTCATAACTCAAATATATCATATCAGTTCTTATCTCTTTTTATATGTGGGAAATTACAGATTTTCTAATCTCAACATTTATATTTTGTTTAGTCATACACCGTTGTTTTTTATGTTCTGTTTTCAACAATAACCTTAATTGAATTTTGTATCTCCTCCAATGATAGCTGAGGAGGATCCGGAAGTTCACCTTGGTCAGCTTAAAAGGTTTTCACTACGTGAACTACTAGTTGCAACAGATGGCTTTAATAACATTCTTGGTAGAGGTGGATTTGGCAAGGTTTATAAAGGACGCTTAACAAATGGTGAGCTAGTAGCAGTAAAAAGACTTAAAGAGGAACGCACACAGGGTGGGGAGTTGCAATTTCAAACTGAAGTGGAAATGATCAGCATGGCTGTGCATCGAAATTTGCTTCGCTTGCGTGGCTTTTGTATGGCACGTACTGAACGCTTGCTTGTGTATCCTTTCATGGTTAATGGAAGTGTAGATACATGTTTACGAGGTACCCTTATTAGACTACTCTACTGGGGAGGATTAATGTGATATGTACTGCTTTTATTATTGTAAATAGTATAAAAAAGATACTTTATGTCTATGTGTATTTAAAAAAGAATAAAATAAAAATGAGTCATTAATAATAAAAGAATCTAAACAACTTTGGATAGTTATAATTTTTGAAAGATGGTAGAGAGAAAGAGTAGTTTGAGAGATGGTTATAGAGACAAAATTGTCCATATAAGTTATTAAATTTGATCCTTTGTTGGCGCTAATTTTTTTCATACATTCATCCAATTTTGTTTGACCTCACCATTTAATGTGGTGAAAGAGAGTACAAATCAACTCTTCTGCTAAATAGTGTAAAAGAAATATTGTATTTTTCTGAGGAAGATATTTTATAAAAATTATTGGTATAAGGTTATTACACAAACATATTTTACAATGATGAGATATTGTTCGCATTGGGGTTAAATCCCCACGGTTTTGCTTTTAATCATCATCCAAAAGGTCTCTCTATCATTAAAGTATTTTTATGCTATATAAGTTGTTATTTCTTTGTATTATTTTATTGACGTGAGACTTATTTGTATCCCAACATACATGTTATTCAAAGCCAAAAGTCTTTGTGTTTTTGTAGATAGACCAAAATCAAAACCACCACTTGAATGGCCAATACGGAAGCGTATTGCTCTAGGAGCTGCTAGGGGACTTGCTTATTTGCATGATCATTGTGACCCAAAGATTATTCATCGTGATGTCAAAGCTGCTAATATATTGTTGGATGATGACTTCGAACCAGTTGTTGGAGACTTTGGTTTAGCAAAGCTTATGAATTACAAAGATACTCATGTTACCACTGCTGTACGTGGTACGATTGGCCATATAGCACCAGAGTATCTATCAACCGGAAAGTCTTCTGAGAAAACTGATGTATATGGATATGGTGTGATGCTTCTTGAAATAATAACTGGACAGAGGGCTTTTAATTTGGCACGACTCGTCGTCGATGATGAGATCATGTTACTTGATTGGGTAGGTATTATGTTTAGTTATTTACTAAAGATATTATGTTAGTACTTCTTGTTCAATTAGCATCCACACGTATTTTTCTAAATACTATGAGGTTGAATATGATCCAATGGAAGGAAAATACAAAATTGTTTTGGTTGTTCTTATTTTTCTGTCCCAAATGTCATCTTCCTGGTTTTCGTTGTTTAGTTTGTCGTTATTGCATCAGCTATGTAACGATGTTAGAACCAATGACTAATGATTTTGTTGGCAAATGGAATTATTTTGATCGCAGGTGAAAGTAGTTCTGAAAGACAAGAAGTTGGATGCACTTGTGGATGCAGATTTAAAGGGAAATTATGATGGGAGGGAAGTAGAGGAGGTAATCAAAGTGGCCTTGCTATGCACACAAAACTCCCCTTTGGATAGACCCACGATGTCTGAGGTGGTGAGAATGCTAGAGGGTGAAGGTTTGGCAGAAAAATGGGACCAATGTTGGCAGAAAGAGGATATGATCCAACAAAAGTCCAAACCCACCAATCTCCACACTAATTATTGGCCATTCCCATTTGATTCACCATCAACTTCAACTTCTAGTATTCAACCAGATGAACTGTCAGGCCCTAGATGATCTTTGAACAGAGAGAAACATTTTAAATATTGAGGTGTTTAGCAAAGGAAGAAATTCTTTGTAGAAACAAATAGTTTCTCTTAAAGCTCTGCAAAATGTTGGTTTGGTGCACTTTAGCGTGCCATGCCGTGGTTTAATAATATATATAGTTCGTGTCTAATTAAGTATTTCTAAGTCTTTGATCACTGTTACTAATTCACTACATGTTCAGTGAGTGTTACATAGGGGCCAGGTTATAGTAGTGTCATATATAAATCTACACTGGTCATTGTGTTTTGTATATAATGTGATTCATGAAACAACCAGTTAAAAGTTAAAAGGAGATGTCTGATTCGATGGGTATTAATATTATTTACACCATTTTGTATTTTTGTTGGTGCAAATAATTTTGTTTATAACTGCTATTATTAAGGATGTTGATATAAATTTATGGTATTATACTTTGTGTTATCTTCTGTACTATTAATATAACCATGTTTCTTCTAAAAAAAATAATAATATGACAATGGTCGAATGTATATATATATATATATATATATATATATAGAGGAAGAATTCGTTTACTTCATGAGTAAGTTTACCCAAACTTACATCAGTCAATAAATCATATTTTACATCAAATTGTAGCGATCCAACCGTTGAATTTAAAGTTCTTAATGCATAGATCAAATATGCAAATTTTTAAAAAATTTGAAAATCATTTGATACTTGGTTTCATTAATTCAAATCGAAGGATAATTATAAAATTATTTTGTACATTGATTTGAATTAATGAAACAAAATATCAAATGATTTGCAAATTTTTTAAAAATATGCAAATTTGATCTATGCATTAAGAATTTTAAATTTAACGGTTGGATCGTTGAAATTTGATATACAACATGAGTTATTGAATAGAGTAAGTTTAAGTAGACTTACTCCTAACGTAAACTAATCCATCCTCACACACACACATATATATATATATATATATATA